GAGAAACAACAGTCAAATTAGGAATATGGTCGAAAAAAGGGTAAAACTGTCAAATAAATATATAATTTTTTTTTATCTCCTCCCTTTTGATTCCCCTTTGACCTTATTGCTTATTTGTTGACTCGAACCCATGACACTAAAGTTGTAGGTCAAAGTGATAATTAGGGGTGTATATGAAACGAATTGGTTCAACTTTTATCTAAACCAAATCAAATCAAACCAATTATATCTGTTTGAATATGTTTGATTTTCTCTATTCCTTCGGGGTAGGGGTAAGGTCTGCGTACACACTACCCTCCTCAGATCCCATTAGTGAGATTTTACTGGATTGTTATTGTTATTGAATATGTTCGATTTTGTCGGATTTTTTGGAATTTTCGGGCTTTTTTTTACATGAATATTATTTCAATCTTATCTTGCGAAAATTTTGATAAATAAATATATGTTTACTAAAAATTAAAAAATTTGACAAACATATGATCTATTAAAACACTTTTATGCGAAAATATTCTTAGTACACGTGATGGTTTTTTTTAGTCGTCTAACAATAATTTTTTGTTGATGTACTGTCACGACCCAAAATCCCACCTCAGGCGTCGTGATAGCACCTAGTCTCTAAGACTAGGTAAGCCGATTACAATTACATTTCAAGCCTTTATTTTTTTTAATTAAATAGATAATCAAAACTAACATCGGAAACAAATATGAAAATCTCCCAAGACTGGTAGTACTGAGTCACGAACTCTAACTGAATATATGGAATGATCTCGAGGACCGAATATACAATATTGTTTGATTAAAAATTAACAGTACAATAAAATAAAAAAACTCCAAGGGACTGCGATGACCAAGCAGCTCTACCTTGAATCCTTACGATCTCGCTTTAACTCTGCTCAAGTCTGATATCTTCAATACCTGGCTCTGCACAAAAATGTGCAGAAGTGTAGTATGAGTACACCACGGTCGGTACCCAGTAAGTATCAAGACTAATCTCAGCGGAGTAGAGACGTGGTACAGTCAAGACACTCACTAGTCTAATAGCCTGTGCAATATAATATACAAAATAATAGAAAACAAATAATAATAAGGGCAACATAAAACAATCAGTGATATGCACAGTAAGACAATAGAATCACCATTAATATCGCTCAACAATTGATAAATACAATTACACCCAATTAAATCGAGTTCTTCAATTAAATATCTTTCACATATAATTCTTACGAATAAAAATTATTTTCAAATATAATTTCCTCAAATAAATATCTTTCAAATACAATTCTTTCATATAATTCTTTTTGAATAAAAATCCTTCCAAATAAATATTTTGAATATAATTCTTTCAATTAAAAAGTCACCAAGTGACATCTCATTTCATAATCATAGAAATACGAGTCTCAGCCCATTTTCATATTTTTCGTAAACACGGGTCTCAGCCCATTTTCATATTTTCACGTCACTTCATGCCCATAGTTAAATCATCATATTTTCCCAGAACCTTATGCCCACTTTTCATATCACAGTTGCATGGACAGTTCACGTGCCAATATTATTATCATTTAATCACAACACCTCGTGCCCACATTTCATATCACAACTACACAGACAATTCACGTGCCAATATCTTTATTATTTACTCACAACACCTCGTACCCACATTTCATTTTATAATCCGGCTAGCAATAGCCACAAGCTCTCAATTTCAACATAAATCACATTGTTATCAATTTTTCAACAACAAGACAAATTGCACAAGGTATAAAATAAACACAAGAAAATCACAACATCATATGAAAATCACCAACACCACAACTCCACATCATCACATATTGTCCCTCACAATAGCCACCCTTATCGCTCTTATTGCCACCCTTATCGCTCCTATAGCCACCCTTATCGCTCTTATTGCCACCCTTATCGCTCCTATAGCCACCCTTATCGCTCTTATTGCCACCCTTATCGTTCCTATAGCCACCCTTATCGCTCCACCCAGACAATATTCCAACAAATACAACAATAGTGAAATGCCATCCTTATACCCATATAATATCAACAGTGAAATGCCACCCTTATCTCCCCAAAATAATCACTCACACAACACAATAATTTACACGGAAAATTATCACGACAACATAACAAAATCAATTCATATCACAATTTGCCCAATGGCCACAACCAAAGTTTCAAAGATACAACCAAATCAATTTATTTTACAACAATAGTTGAAGGCTCCACACAATCTGTACGTCACCACACAAATAATCAACCGAGATAGAAATTATTTAACATAAAGCAAAGCCTTCATTAATCTAAATTTAGATAATTATATTAACACATCTTCTTAAGCTTGCTTAATTAATTATTTACCGAGGAAAAATCTATAATGAGATTAAATTCCAAGAAATATCAAACCAACAAACTCACGAAATTACATAAATATTCAAATAACAATCACATCAAATTGTCATATAAAAACAAATTCAACAAACAAGGATTTATGTATGGCAAATAGATGATTAAATAAATGCCAATAATTATTCAATTTACTACACAATATGCCTAAGACTTAAACCCAATATATTTTACACATATAAACCTGAGTACATACTCGTCACCTCGCGTACACGGCTTTTCACATTTCACAAACGGCACATAAGACTCGATGCCTAAGGGGTAATTCCCCCACTCGAGGTTAAGCAAGACACTTACCTTTTTGAAGTTATGCCGATATTCCAAAAATTGCCTTCTTGCTTGAATTGACCTCCGGACCGCTCAAATCTATCCAGATTAATTGTATAACTTCATTAAAATTCATCAAAAATAATTCCGGATAATAATACGTCGACTTAAAAATTTATTCTAAAAAGTCAACAAAAATCAACGCGGGGCCCGCCTCTCAAAACCCGACATAATATTTTACGAAATTCGAACACTCTTTCCGATACGAGTTCAACCATACCAATTTTATCAAATTCCAATAACACCTCGACCTCCAAATCTTAAATTTTCGTTTTTGGAAGATTTTGCAAAAATCTTAATTTCCTCAATTTCAATCCGAATTAAATGATGAATATAATCATGGATTCATGAAATATAAGCACTTTAGGATATAGAACACTTACACAAATCAAAGTTGTGAAGAATCCATCCAGAATCGCTGAAATCCGAACTCCAAAAATTCCAAAACGAAAATGGCAAAATGACCATTTTTGGTCCTTAACATTCTGCCCAGATTCGCACCTGCGGGTACTGTTCACGCATCTGCGAAAAAACAGCAAGTTGCCTAGAAATTCCAGCAGCTTTTCTTCAAGTCCGAATTGATCCGAAATCCATCCGAGGCCCTCGGAACCTCAACCAAATATACCAACACGTCCCAAAATACAATACGAACTTAGTCAATGCTTCAAACCATGTCAAACAACGCCGAAATTACAAATCGCGCATCGAATCGAATTATAAGTTTTTCAAATCTTCCAACTTCTATATTTTGCGTAGAAACGTAACAAATCAATCCGGAATGACTTCAAATTTTGCACACAAGTCATAATTGATGTAATGAAACTATTCCCATTTTCGGAATCGAAATCCGACCTCGTTATCAAAAATTCATCCTTCGGTAGGATTTTCCAAAATCTTCTATTTTTTCAACTTTCGCCAAAATGCGTCAAATTGTCCTACGGACTTCCAAATCTGAATCCGGACATACGTCGAAATCCGAAATCACCATACGAAACTAACATCATCAAAATTCTATTCCGAGGTCGTTTGCTCAAAAGTCAACTCTCCGGTCATCTCTTTCCATTTTAAGCTTCATAAAAATTATTCTTTTAATTAAATTACGAATCTTCCGAAAATCAAACTCGACCACACCCCCGCGGGTCATAATACATATTACGAAACTGCTCGAGACCTTAAGTCACTGATCGGGCGTAAATTCTTAAAACGACAAGTCGGGTCGTTACATGTACATTTTCAAGGTTAGACGAATTTAATAATTAAATATAAAATCAATATGATACCTAAAAAATGATATATTTTATTTAATTTTAAATAATTAAAATACCATTTTAAATTCAAAAAAGATGTAAGATTTACTAGATCTTGACATATGAATATGGAAGAACAACGAGTTTGACGCATTTCAATAACATTTGATAAGAACGTGGTTATACAACCTATTATTTGGAGTAAATAAACATAGTGCACTATATATTCTATAAAACATTCCATTCCATAAGGGAATCACAAATATTTTTAGACATTTTAAAAGAAAATCTATATAAAATATTAAAAATATATATAAAAATTATATATTTATATGTCGGTTTGGTTCAGATTTTTTTATTCAATACCAAATCAAATCAAACCAAACCTAATCAATTTTTTTTAATCGATTTGATTTGATTTCCGGTTCCGTTCGATTTTTTTGATTTGATTTTCCGGTTCCGTTCGATTTTTCGATTTGATTTGAACGCCCTTAATACTGACCATCTAAGCATAAGCAAAATCCTCTTGTCAAATAAATATATAATCAATCTCCCTATTTTCCGAGAACTAAAGTATCCCAAAATTCAGTTTTGGTAAAAAAGAAAAAAAAGGAAAAAAATTATTCCTATTCAAAACCCAATATATGAATGAACTAACAAAACTAATAAAGAGACCAGAAGAACCCTCCCAAAATCCAACCTGTGACTGACTGCGTCATTCACAAATCACAACCCTACACACAATACTTAAATTTTGGAAAGTGAGTTGCATTTTTCTATTCCGTGATCCCCTTTATCTCTTCCCCTTTTTCTCCTTTTTCTTCTTCGTTTAGGTATATACCCCATATATATAGCCTATAAACCATATAGCTATATAAAACTCTACATCTATTTTGAGAATTTGATGATTTGGGTCGGCTAAAAATACAATCTTTTTAATACTCTTTTGAAATCTTGGCACAAATTTGTGAGGTATTCCCTTGAATCCATCATAGCTTATTTTCTTGATTTTTTGTTTTTGTTTGGAGATTTTTCTGGTTTTTGGTTTTGTAATAATTGAATCTTGGATTGATTAAGATATGTGGTGATGTACTTTTTTGGTGGATTGATTACTGACTTTTGGAATTTTGTGTTTGTTTATAGTGCTTTAGGGAATTGTTTAAAGTTTTTTTATTATCATAGTGCTTTTGGCCAACTTTTGGTCCTATCTTTGTTTTGTCATGTATGGGGTGTGTGTTTAATGATAATGTGTATGTATTTATTCCAGATACACTGTATTCTTGAATATACCAAAGTATTGGGTTGATAAGATCTCATGATTTAAAGTGTCTTTTCATCTATCTCTCATATACACACATGCAGAGTATTGGTTTTTGGGTGTATATCTCTGAGCTCTTTTTAGTCAGTTAGGGGTTTTCTCTTGGTGTTTAGGACATTCTTAAAGGGGGTAAGGTATGTGCATCAATTTCCCTTTTATTGCTTCTTGCTGAATTTGATGAATTTTCTTTTAATGCTTCATATTATTTTGAATCTATCGGAAATAACAATCTCTTTCTTTTCAAGGCAGGGTAGGACTGCGTACATCCCACCTTACCCAGAATCCACTTGTGGGAAGACTCTAAACCTTACCCAGAATCCACTTGTGGGAAGACTCTAAAGAGACTGGGTTTGTTGTTGTTGTTGCTTCATATTATTTTGAGTGTCATCAGCTCTTAGAAATCAATTGGTTTAGGCAAAGGTTGAGCTAGGATTTTGAGTTTATGGTTACTTATACATATTATGTAAATTTTTTAACACTAATACAACTTTGGCCAAAACTAATAGGTTTTGCTGAACTTGTAAACAGAACTGTAGCTCCGCCCCTGGGTTCAGGATAGGCATTCCTCTAAAATCCATGCATAGAGGAATCAATATCTCTTAGGGCTCGTTTGGTATGAGGAATAAGGGATAATTAATCCTGGGATTAAATTTTAGATGAGTTTATTCCACGTTTGGTTGGTATGAAATCGAGGTATAACCAATTCGGGGATAACTTGTTCCCTAACCAAACGACCCCTTAAGGTGCTTCTTTGCAATAGAATGCATAGGCCTCTGTTGTGTATTTTGTTTAAAGGTGCTGGAGCTTCAGGTTTTTAAAGCATCAATGCAGATCTTTTCCTTCCCAGCCTAACTAAAACTTTAGATATGAACCAACTACCGTCTGATGATATCTGAAATTTATAACCAAGCGTGACATTTTGATTCCAGTATTTAGGTGCAGTGTGCAATTTTCTGTGTAAGTTCGGTTATATGATTGTACTTGTGAAAATATTCTTGGTCTATGTGGTGTAGCATGTTTATCTTTAATAGCTTTCTGCAGAGGACTCGGCTAGTATCTCCCCTCCATGGTTTTGGTATTCACTGATAAACATTCTACAGCTTGATGTTTGCCTATGCCAATGTTGATAGTTAACTTCTCCTAGCTAGTGACACTGATTTATTTGTTCGAGCTGTGCATTTCTCGTTCTGTTGGTCGTATGTACAGAGACAGAATACTGCTTCACTCTATGTTGACTTATCATGATTTAAGTATTTGCCAATGGTTCATATTGGTACACATTAGACTCATTTGGTGTGTTGTTAATTGATGATTTTGTACATCTGTTTTCCAGATGGAGACGCAGAACCTGGAACGTGGACATGTAATTGAGGTACGTTGTGACATGGCAGCTCAAGAAAAGGGGACTAAAATCTGTGGTTCAGCACCGTGTGGATTCTCAGATGTTAACACCATGTCTAAGGATGCACAGGAGAGATCAGCATCCATGAGGAAACTTTGCATCGCGGTTGTCCTCTGCATCATATTTATGGCTGTTGAGGTTGTTGGTGGTATTAAAGCCAACAGTCTGGCAATATTGACCGACGCTGCTCATCTACTATCAGATGTTGCAGCTTTTGCAATATCCTTGTTTTCACTCTGGGCAGCAGGATGGGAAGCTAATCCACGCCAGTCCTATGGGTTTTTCAGAATCGAGATACTCGGGGCATTAGTTTCTATCCAAATGATATGGCTTCTAGCTGGGATCCTTGTTTATGAAGCCATTGCTCGACTTATTCATGATACAGGTGAAGTTCAAGGCTTCCTCATGTTTGTGGTGTCTGCATTTGGATTAGTAGTGAACCTCATCATGGCACTCTTGTTAGGTCATGATCATGGCCACGGCCACGGCCATGGCCACAGCCACGGTCATGACCATGAACACGGCCATAATCATGGCGAGCATGCTCATAGCAATACTGATCATGAGCACGGCCATGGTGAGCATACGCATATACATGGAATTAGCGTTAGCCGACACCATCACCATAATGAGGGACCTTCGAGCCGAGATCAACACCCCCATGCGCATGATGGAGATCACACCGTGCCTCTACTTAAGAATTCATGTGAGGGTGAAAGTGTATCAGAAGGTGAAAAGAAAAAGAAGCAGCAGAACATAAATGTTCAGGGAGCTTATCTTCATGTAATAGGAGATTCTATTCAGAGCATAGGGGTGATGATTGGGGGAGCTATTATATGGTATAAACCAGAGTGGAAAATCATCGATCTAATTTGCACTCTCATTTTCTCTGTAATTGTGCTCGGGACAACCATTAGGATGCTTCGGAGTATTCTTGAAGTATTAATGGAGAGTACGCCCAGAGAAATTGATGCAACAAGGCTCGAGAAGGGGCTCTGTGAGATGGAGGACGTTGTCGCAATCCATGAATTGCACATATGGGCAATTACAGTCGGCAAAGTGCTCCTGGCTTGCCATGTCAAGATTAAGTCCGACGCTGATGCTGACACGGTGCTGGATAAGGTGATTGATTATATTAAGAGGGAATATAACATTAGCCATGTAACCATTCAAATAGAAAGAGAGTAATGGCATGGAAAAGTTTATTTTGGCTGTTCTACTGGTCATTGGCTTCTTTATTCTTTCGAATAGTAGTTTAAAAGGAAAACTAGATCTGGTTAAGCGGTTCCAGTATCTGTTTCAGTTTGGTAAATCATGGTTTGCATTTTATGGTAATAGCAAGGCACAAAGCTCTTTTGAAATCTGATTGAATCATGTGAGGCAACTCTGGCAGGTGGCTTCGATACATAGTTACAGGTTCTTTCCTCAAGGCTAGGTTTTAATAAGTTTTATATCTGTAGTTCAGTTTCGTATATTCGTTTGCTTGTTAACTTGTAATTTGGCATGCCTGTCATTTTTCTTTGTCTAAGCTGAGGAACACCAAAGAGAGAAAGAATTAGGAAAGAGTTATGAGCTAGGTCTCATAGCTCCTAATTTTTTCACACTGCAAAAACTACAGAACTGGAGGATATTTTAGTGCAGGAGGCAACTACAGTATATAATGCATTAGGTGCATAAGTGCATGTATGCTTTAGACTTGGTAACGTGTATGTATAGTATAGATATCAGTATTTGATACAATCACTGGAACACATAAAAAACATTGTTGACTCAATATCTGGTATTTTGCTTGAGAATTCATAGAGCCGATCACGACTTGCTTGGAATTGAGGTGTTGTTTGGTTCTTAGTAACAGAATAACTCCACGGTTTTAAACATTTTCTGTGTCCACGTTTTATCCAGATCTCATGATTATACTTAGTTTAATCCATGTTGATGAAATATCTATCAGATGGTTGAGTAATGTAAACACACGATGGAGAATGAATAGAAATTATCCTCATAATCGATATTAATGGAAAATGAATTTGTGATATAATAACGATAGAACAAAAAGATTATGATATTAATGGAAAAGAGTATGCAACACCTAGCACCAGCAGTTGTGCTGTTAATAGTAACAAGTATTGTGTGAATTACCCATATATACCATATTTAGATGCTTTTTCTTCAACAGGGGAGATTTTACACTGCCTTGACTAAAAGGATGTGAAATCACTGCTTGAAAATCTTAGTCATATATATATATATATATATATACACACGCTTTATATTTCTTTTCTTATATTTAATATATAGAGTTCAAATCCAAAAGCAATAAGTTTTTGTAAATTCTGGCGTAAATTCGCCTTTGATAATTAACAAAGCTTTTGTAATTGCATATATAGGAAGAGTCAAGATCACAATTCACAAGCATATATAGTAAACTGAGATTCACATTTTACTGTTCTTCCAGATTGTTTTACCAATGAATAACCTTTCTATAAAGTAAGATCTGGTCAGCAAAATAGAAATCAATATGCACCTAGTAGAATACGAAAAAGCTTGAAGACACGTGTTCACCAAAAAGAAGTGTCAAAGGTAATTGTTTTTTCTAAATCTTTTTTGGGTTTCCACCTCGGTGTCCGGTATTCGTATTAGAGTCCGACTATTTTCGGATTCATGTCGCGTAGGGCCCATTCAGGGGGAAGCGTTTCCTACAAAGAATTTTTTCATACCCAGGGCTCGAACCCAAAATCTCTGATTAAGGGAAAACAGTCTCATTCGCTGCACCACATCCTTTGGCGATGGTGTTTTTTTAATCTTATAAGGAACGCTTATGAACTCCAAATATAATCTCTTCAAGAGAGACCATTACCTTTGAGTAATTAGACGAACCTCAGTAATTAATCAGACGAACCTCAGTAATTAATGCCATCTTATTTACCTTTGAGTTTCAACATGCCAAGTAAATACAAAATTAATGTTCCAAGTCCACAAATACGTTTGATTTTTTAAGCACAATATATATTTTGACTAGATTTGACTCCATATAGTTTTGTTTTCTACTGTCACAAACACAATTGCAGGGTAAGACTATTAGCAGTACAAGTAGCAATAAATACGATATCCACCAACTAAAACTTAAACACATACACACACACAAGAATCTGCCAGAAAAGCAATTGTGGCAATAAATGTTTTACTTTTCTCAAGCTAGAGATGATTGCAATCATTATTCTATGTAATTAATAAGGAATAATTATTGAAGCATTTTGATTAAGATCGTATTGACTATTGTCAGCTTGACCATTGAACTGTATGATGGCAATGTAGAACTTTCCTTTACTGTCTTATGATATTTTCAAATTTAGAAGTTCTAACAAATATACTTAGTAATTAGTGTATACAATAAGCTTGGAAAGTTCATTATATGGCCAATTGTCATCTCATACTGGTTTACTTGAGTAAATAACTCAATATTCAATCAAGTGCACCATTCAAGAGTATGTGTGCGTATTCGATAATATTAGACTAATTTTAAAAAATTTATATATAAAATACGTAATTTAACAAAGAAACCATGGGTTCACGTGCCATATCACCTAGCTTACAAATCCGCCTATAACTATAAGGAATGCCTCTAACTAATGTACCCCTGGCTGGCCACATAAGCCACGAAAAAAGTCTACTTAAGCAAATAATTTATATTTTGCATTCCTTATCCATATTTTGGATATACAGCTTACCATAGAACAGAAGGTTAACACTAAACTATACAACAATTGCTTTTTATAGTTGTCCGCATCAATTAAAAGAAGAATCATATCAAGCTTAATAATATTACATCTGGTCTCAAATATTTATCATTTTGACTAAATTTGCGTTAAAACACTTGACGTTTTTATTCAAATATACCCATATTCTTCCAATTACTGAAGTGTAAATGAAATGGAATGTTTAAGAAAAAGAAAAGGAATAGTTTAGATAAATGCTTTTATAATTAAATCTATTAAATGTTAAAAAGTTTAAAAAGGCAGATAACATAATGAAACAAAAGCTTAACTGCATGACTAGCCACTCAGCAGCACGTTTGGACATCTGGAGTAAAAGAAACAACATTCCCCACGCAAAATTATAAAATAATGTATTGGAAATAGAATCTAACTTTCCTTAGTAACCAATGTTAGGCTACTAACTTCCACTCAAAGACCCCAAAGTATGACCATATGGAAAAAATTATTAATTCTACTAATTCGACAACTCACCAGTCTAGACTTTTCTTAAATTTTTATATGCAAATAAATATCTGTCTTCAAATAACTACACAATCATTACATTACATTATATATACACGTCTTTAAAATATGTACGAACTCAAAAACAGAAACACACAAATTCAACCAAAAGAAGACAACAAATTAAAGGAGAGGATTAATGGCCAGTGGAGCGGCTGAGATGGTGTTTCAATGTATATTTGATGCAAGCTTATCCAATTTTGAGAATATGGAAAGAAGACCATACCATAGAAATTGCAGCTGTGCACTGTACAAACTGAAAGGAACAGGTTCAAGAACTTACTGTAACCACAACAATATTGTTTCATTCCCAAAGAAGAAATTTTCCAAATCACTGTTCATATCAATTTTCTCTACAAACAACAATAAATACGTCTCAGTTTCAAATATATTGGAGTCGATTAAAGAATAAGGTTACTTAAGGCAACAACTTTTGCAGCTACTTATACGTATAAAGTTTTGACAGAAGATTTGTTGGTTATTATTTCTCAATTTTCGGACCTTCTGGCAGGAAATTGTCCCCTATAGGAGCATTATTATAACTCTTTTGATTATCATATCTCTTCTTGTGCATATCCTTGGTTTTATGTAATTTTTGGATCTTGTGATGGAAATTACATTCTAAACTTTTATAATTCAATAAATGGAAAATCACCACTCCTTTCTGTTCTGACATGTAATTAAGCGAGAAAAGAAATACCAACAGAAATAGCTTACTGCTCCCCCTATTTCCATTCCTGTTATTTTACTTCGTTGAGTTGTAATCGTTAAATACTACCATTAATATAATCTGTATTTTGGAGTTGTTACACACTCAATCAAAAACTTAAAACAATCTGTGGAGTTTCCTAGGGCTTTTATAAAACCATTTTGTGGTTTGGCTATAATGGGAGTTTTTTTTTTGAAATTTTATTTTCAAATATCTGTTTGTTTATAAATTTTAATTATTTTTTGGCAGATTTTGAAAACAAAATTTTCAAATCTCAAAAACTACTCTAGAGTATTTTTTGAAGTTTTTTACTCACAAAACTTCAAATTCTTTTCAAGTATAATGCATGTCCAAATACATTTTCAATTTTCAAAAATTATTTTTCATCTTATCTTCAAAAATTTATTTTTTCAAGTTTCAATCAAATTTATGTTCAAACGCTATCTTACATACTCAACACTAAGGAGATAATTACATTGTACCTAAAAATGAAAAAAGACGGATTGAGTCAAATGTAAACGGGTCAAATTAATAAATGGAACATGATTCAACCCATTTAAAATTGAATTTAGTCAAAGAAATTAGGTAATGATGGGTCATAGCCCAACATCTCCAACATGACCAAACATTCCCTCACTTTCTATTTTTCTTTTCGTAAAAAAACAATTTGAAAGCTAAAATATTTTTCTTAAATTATTCCAAATTTACATATTTTCTAATCCCTAATATTTATTTTTTATGTTGGGATTTGGATAGCATTTTAACCTGTTGGATTACACGATTTGACTCGCTTCAACCCGATAAACATGTCATTACTCTAAGCGTCTCAACTTGAACAGTAATATGCAAGCCAATTTCGACACACCTCAATTATTCCATCTAGTACGTACTTACTATTTGACAATTACTTTACCCGCAATACTTAGACTGCAAATATCATCTAGTTGTGTCGTATACTCTTTACTTATGCAGCTCTTCCCATTTTCACATTCGTTTCTTGGTCGAAATGCAAATGCTGAGTTACTTATGTACTAGAGGGTGAAGTTACTAAGATTTCATCCAAAAGCAGTAAACAAAATCTATAAAGTAGTAATCAGTGAAATGTTTTGCTCCTGAACATAAAGAAAACATAAATCTTAGAGCAATTCTTTCTACAATCTACAGTAAAGTAAAAGCTAACAGAAGTACAAGCATATCTTTAATAGTGACATAAACCATGCAGAAAAAAAGAAGAAGGAATGAAACATAAATCATCATATTTTTTGCCAGTGCTGAACTTGTTGCAGGTGCTGAACCTAAAGTTGGGGACTCCAAACTGTCAAGACAACATAAGAAAATATCAGAACAACTTTTGAAAGCCAAAAAAAAAAGATAATAATTTGAGAGTAAGATAGTATCAGCTCACTCTATGCATGTTCCATGGTGAGTTACCTATTTTGACAACCACAGCCGCAAGTTGGGCAGTCTGAATGGAACGTAACGGGTGGAGATGGATGAGTCCTTAGCTACGAAACGTGAATACATACAAGTAACACTCCATGTCTCTACAAGGAAAACAACAATATAAATTAACATGATATACCATTTGCTACTAGAGAATTGGCAAATGCATGCTAAAAAAGTAGTTCATCTTTTACTCATGTGTCATGCCATTAGTGTCTTGAGAAGTAAAGGAACAGAGAAGAAAACAATATTCTTAACTGGAAAAAAAAGCATGCAATCACCGAAATAACAGTACTCCTAGCTTAATAGTCTCTATAACTTACTCAAAGATTTAGCAATCGTTCC